ACCAGACGTCCCCGGTTGCTATGAATTTAAACAAACTCAATGGTAGTGGGTTTGGGTTCTGTGTGTTGAAGTTCACACTGAAAAATGAACCAAGTGTTTGATCAAATCATGACAGATTTTATACAATTTCCCTATAGTACTAGTTGAAATGTGGGTATGAATTTTCTGACATATAAGTTTAATTATAGCTCCAGTTATTCTCTGCACGCACAGGCCATACTTGAGACCCTCAGAGATCAAACGTTCACTTCATCATCTCATATTCTGGTCATCTGCAATCGCTTAACTGAAACTGGACATGATTAAGTTGGAAGCGATTCAATCTTAGGTCTCGAGGCCACTATGGCTTTGTCCTGTAGCTGATGTCAGGCCTTGTCTGAATTACTCGCTGCAGGACTTCGAGGATCGTGTGCACCTCTCTTAAAAACAGATATTAAAAAAAATCCCCGCAAATCAAAAGCGCTAAGAAAAAAATTAAGCCGCTGGGGCGCAGGTCTCACCATTTCATGAAGCAGCACGTTGCCATCTTTAGTGAGCTTGATGTCTCCAGCACCAGAAACCAGCCTGTTCAACGTGGAGAAATAAATCTGTGTTACTATCTCAGCCTCCAAACGAGATCACGGAAAAGCTCCCCCAGACCCGGCTTTTCCTGCATTTCGGGGAGGCTGGGGTGGAATCTCCTTTTTCTGTTAGGAGAACGGTGCAGAGCACCCGGATCAGGGAAAGTGAGTCCTCACTATGGCAGGAGGGTGGGGACCGCGGCGCACGTGGGCAGCTTTGTTCTCCGCGAAAACCGCAGCGACGCGAAGAAATGGCCGGGCGGGAGGGTGCGGGGACAGGCGCGCGGCCACGTGGACGTTCGCAGGGGCCGCTTCCAGCCCCGGCCCACGATCTCGCCGCCGCGCCACTCCAGCCCACCCGCCGGCCCCAGCTCACATCTTCATGGTGCCCTTGGGCCCCAGGTTGGTCCTCAGCACATCCTGGAGGCCTCGGGCCGCGCTGATGTTCACCGCCAGGGCCGCCTGGGCTCGGGCCACTTCGGCCTTGGGGTTCAGAGTCTTCACGGCCGACATGATGGGCCCAGTACAAACAGAAGATTACAACACGCGTGCGGAAAACCCAAGGCCGCGGAAGCGCGGACCGCAGGCCAGATCCGGAGGCTTCTGGAAAAGTCGGGCGCGCCCAGCCCGCCCCCAGCGTGCCTGCGCCGCTCTGTTACTGGGCGGCCGCTCCGGCGAGCTCATTGATTGGGCCGCAGGCTCACGGTCCCGCCTCTTCCCGACCGCGTTCCTGTCCGCGAGCTGTTGCGTCCGGGTAGTCCGTAGACTTGCAGCCTGGGCACCACAGGTTCCGCTGTATCAATGGCCCGGTCCGAGTTTGGCTGAGCTGGGCCTGGCGATGCCGAGAGTGGCCCTGGCGGCTGCCCTCCGCGAAAAGGGCCTCTCGGCCTACTGCGCCCGTGTGGGCGTGACTTGGGAGCCTGGAGGACTCTGCCCCAGGGCATCGGGTGGGCGTCCGATTCGCCTGCACGCTTTTAGCCCTTCGTTTCCTTCCCCCGCTATTTCTTTGACCAGCCTTGCCTTAAAGACTTCTCGAACTTAATGGGGTTGCATCCTGCTTCTCCATCCTAAATCGGTTCTGACGTAAGTCTCATACCTCGCTGTACTGTTTTGCTTATCATTGCTTTTTATTATCATTATCTTTATAAATTTCCTTTTTTCTCTTTGGAGTTTGGAAGAATCGCATATACACTTATAAGACGGGGAAAAAACCCCCAGCCAACCCACAAAACCCCCTTGCTATCAAGCGACTCCAACTTTTAATGGCCCTGTATTCCCAAGGCTTCTTTTTTTGCCCTGTCTTCCTTTTTAAATTTATTATTCGTTTAAATGAAAATTTAGAGACTTTGATTTCCATTCATTCATTGTTGCACTTTTCCCCCTTCCCAACCCTCCCCCTTAGTACACTACCCTCTTGGAAAAGTAAAAGAAAAATTCATTGTTTTACAATCCCTCCCCCCAGGTCCACTCCACTATACAGCCTTCACTCTGGACTCCTTTCATGACAAAAATACCTAATAATTTTCCCTCTTAAACAGTTTTCTCCCTCATCTGTTTCAATGCAGTATACATTATTGAACCCATCTTTCTCAGTCTCTCCCCAACCCCGAGATCAGTCCTGTTTTACAACAGTGGCACCATGCAGTATTTGTCCTTTTGTGACTGAGATACTTCACTCAGCATAATGTCCTCCAGGGTCACCCATTTTGAATAATATTGCATGAGTTCCTTGTTTTTCAACGCAGCATAGTATTCCATTGTGTGACTATACCACAGCTTCTCTACCCATTCATTTGTTGATGGGCACTTAGGTTGTTTCCAGCTCCTTGCTATTGTGAACAAAGCTGTGATAAACCCAAGGCTTCTTTATGGAAGCCGACCACCTGATTTTTCTCCTGGACCTAGTGGGTTCAGACTGCCCAGCAGTTGAATTCTGAAAGATCCACTCTCAAGTTGGAAACGGATATTTTGTCGATTGTGTTAAGTCCATTTGTGGAATATGCTGGCTCATCTTTGCTGTTAGGTGTGAGTATGACTTTGATCCCATGAACAAGTTGAACCTTGCAATATCCTACATGATGTCATCCCTGTGATCTCTGTCATGCTCAAGCCCATTATGTTTCTCGCAGTGTCAAACCATCTCATTCAGTCTTCCTCTCTTCTGTTGACCCTGTTCCTTTCCCACCAGGATATCTCTAAAAACTGGTTTCTCCTGAAATATGCCCAAAGTAAATGGGAAATTTCACCGTCCTTCTAATGAACACTCTGGTTGCGCTTTCTCATTGGTTTGTCCTTTTGGCAGTCTTTGGGTAATTCAGAACTCTTTGTTGACATTACAATTCAAAGGTATCCAACAATGAATGAATGGAAACCCAAAATCTCTGTAAATGTTTATGAAAATTAATAAAATATAATTATAGAAAAAGAAAAAAAACACAATTCAAAGGTATCCATTCTTTGATTTTCTGTATTCACTGTCCAATTTTCATATGCATAGGAAGTAATTGAAAATAAAACTTTAATCAGATTATATATTATCTGTGGGAATGAAGGTATCATTTCTAATCAGAAAATGAGAGAAGTTTATGTAGAGGGTGTTTTTTTTTTATTCCAAGTATTTCTCAAACTGAAAGAACTGAGGACAAATTCAAGCCTCAAGTTGCAATACTGAAGGATTCTATGGGCAAAATCTTGGATGATGCAGGAAATATCAAAAGAAGATGGAAGGAATACACAATCACTGTACCGAAAAGAATTAGTTGATGCCAGAACATTTCCAAAAGTAGCATATGATCAAGAACCAGTATTAACTGCTGCAATCCCAAAGGTGTGCAGTTCGAATCCACCAGATGCTCCACTGGAGAAGGAGGGACAATCTCCTTCTGTGCTAGTCAGATCTGATTTGACAGCACACAACAAGTTAAAAAAAAACCCAAACAATACACAACACACACACACACACACACACACACACACACACACACACAAAACCCAACCCAACAGTATTACTGAAGGAAGAAGCCCAAGCTGCGCTGAAGACATTGGCAAAAAGTAAGGCCCCAAGAATTATGGAATGCCAATTAAGATTGTTTCAGGAAACAAATCCAAGCCTGGACATTTCCACAGTCTCTGTCAATGAATATGGAAGACAGCTACCTAGCCACCCAACTAGAAGAGATCCGTAATGATCCCCATTCCCAAGAAAAGTGATCTAGCAGACTGTGGAAATCATTGAACAATATTATTAATATCACATACTAGTAAAATCTTTTTTTTTAAGTAAAATATTTTTGAAAATTATTTTAAAACAGCTGGAATAGTAGTACATCAACAGAGAACTGCTAGAAATTCAAGCTAGATTCAGAAGAGGCCATGATATGAGAGAGAATATTGCTGATGTCAGATGGATTTTGGCTAAAAGCAGTGAATACCAGAAAGAGTATTACTTGTCTTTTACTGATTATGCAAAGGCATTTGACCATGTGGAAAATAAGTTATGGCTAATATTGAGAAGAAATCTAAACACTTGATTGTGCTCATGTGAAACCTATACACAGACAAGAAGCAACAATCCTAAAAGAATGTATGGTACTATTAACTTGCTTTCTTTAGGGAGCTTTCAAGGCCTAATGGATAAGGAATTGTGCTGCTAACCCAAAGCCGGTTGGTTAAAATCCAGCATCTTCTTCTGTGCAATTTACAGCCTCCTAGAAAACCCACTGGAGGGCCACTTATGTGTTAATTCTGACAAATACCACAGGGACACCCACTCCTTAGGATAACCAACCATACCAGGACCATGTAAGGTCCAGAGAGCAATATTTGGCCAAGGATAAAGCCCTGAAGGCAGGAACAGGACAGAAAGTAATGGAAACGAGCATCACACAGCAGAAGAGCAACCTGTGTGATGACAGGAGGTGTGTTGTAACTCACGTTACGAGAGAAAATATGTATGAATTGTAGAATGAAAAACCAGTTTTCTCTCTAAATTCAATGGTTAAAGGAGCTGGAATTAGCAAGATGTATATGTGTTACAGATCCTGGACCCTCCTGTCAATAATTGTGGAAAAGGCATTTTTAAAATATTTAAAAATTGTCATTTGAGTGAAGGTTTACAGAGGAAATTAGGGTTTTGTGTCTATTTTGGTTTTTAGTTGTTTTTTTTTT